TGAGATGTGGATGGTCAAATCTCTTGAAATAAAAATGTGTTTTGCTTTTCCATTCTCTTTGATCTACACTGATTTATGTATTCTTAGCTTCTGCCTTATTATCATCACTGCTTTCCCTATGCATTTATAATCCACTTTTTAAAAATTGTGGTAAAACAATACATAATATAAATTTACTTTTAACAATTTTAAGCATACAGTACAATATTGTTAACTATATCCACATTATTGTAAAACAGATTTGTATAACTTCTTTCATCTTGTGTAACTGAAACTCCATACCCTTGAACCACAACTCCTCATATTTTCCTCCCTCCAGTCCCTGGGCAACTACCATTCTACTTTCTGTTTCTATGAGTTTGACTACTTCAGATACTCTATATTAGTGGAATCATGCATTATTTGTCTTTTTGTGATTGACTTATTTCACTTGACATAAGGTCCTCAAGTTTCATTCATATCGTAGCATACAACAGAACTTCATTTTCTTTTAGGGCCAATGACATAGGTATGCATATCCCGCTAAAACAGAATTACCTTCTGGAGGGTGGGCCCCTTGTAGTACAGGCTTCCCCTGCTAGATGAGTGGTTTAGGAGCCCATCTGTATCAGTGTACCAGCTGGCATTGTTGTGAGAGGCTGTGTTTGGCTTCAGTTAATTTTTTTTGAAGACTCTTTCAAAGTGCTTGCCCATTTCATGAAGGGTGACTTATGAGCGCGTCTGCCCACACCATGCTGAGTATTCAACAGTTTTTGACCAAAAACTGCAGGACCCCCAGGCCTCACCCTCTCTAGTCACCTGCTCTTGCCCTGAGTGACTTTTCTTTGTTTCCCCAGATGAAACAGTCCTCAAAGGGAAATATTTTACTGACACTGAAGAGATGAAACAAAAAGCAGCAGAAACACAAAAAGCCATCAAAATTGATGGGTTCAAAAACTGTTTTGAGCAGTGGGAAAAACCTCTCAGTAGGTGTATTGCATCAAAGGTAGAGCACTTTGAAGGTGACTGAAGTTTAAACATGTAAGAATAAATACACAAATTATAAATAAATTCCATTTTTTGGAGAATGAATACATGCACGCGCGCGCACACACACACACAAACACTCCCTTATTGATGAACATTTAGATTGTGTCCACAATTTGGCTATTGTGAATAATGCTGCTATTAACATGGATTTGGTTATATCTCGTCAAGATTCTATTTTTCAATTCTTTTTAATATATACCCAGAAGTGAGATTGTAGTTCTATTTTTTAATTTTTGAGGAACTTCCATACTGTCTTCCATGGTAGCTGCATCATTTTACAATCCCATGAAGAATGACCACCCATTTGAAAAATAATTTTATGCCCTCACCCACGTGGCTCAGTTTGTTGGGCATCATCCAACAAAGTGAAAGGTCGCCAGTTCGATTCCTGGTCAGGGCACAGGCCTGGGTTGCAGGTTTGGTCCCTGTGGGCACATGTCCAAGAGGCAACCAATAGATGTTTCTCTCTCATATGATGTTTCTCTCCTTCTCTTTCCCCCACCCTTCCCCTCTCTCTAAAAATAAATAAATAAAATAAAAAATAATCAATTTCAGAATGTTTCTGATGGCTACATTCTGAAAGCTCCTCAAAGAGTGATTTCTGGAATCAAGTGAGGATCATAGCATGTGATCCTCATCCAGGCCTGGCCTTCTAACCAATATAGTAGGATCTCAATAAATATGCATTAAATGACTCCAGACTTTTGCTTCATTTTCTCATTCTCTGTATATACAAATGGTCCTATCATTCCATAGAACCAGACAATGTTTAGGGGTCAGAGGGCTTGGAGATCATTGGGTACAGCTGGACAATTTGAAGGGTAAAAATTATGTGACTTCCCCACCCCCAAAGTTGGACCAGGAGACTTGTATTTATTTAATAAAATCCAATTTCTTTTTTTAAACTTACCTTCAAATTTCAGTTTCTTTCAGACTATATAGGCTCTACTCTTTTCAGCCTGAAAATAATTGTCCTTGTTTTAGAATATGAAAACAAAGTAAGGCTTAGGTAGTTGTTTATCTCAATAAGATTTATCCTTCAAGGGGGCAAGTTTGAGAGGTTAAACACCTAGGCACTTCTACCTCTTTCAAGATCAGTTTAGGAACTATTCAAAGAAGGCATTAGAGTTTCCATCAGCATAATTACCAAACAAATTAATCAGACTTGACTCTTAAAAACTTGAATATTTCAAAATTAAGCCAACTCTGAAAGGACAAAAATGTGTCACTGTTGGGAGTATTTATTTGCTAAATATTGATAACAATGGCCACTGTTTACAGAACTATGCACCACGAACTTTCCATGCATTATTTATTACCACAGCAGCTATTGGTATTGTATTTATTCCCATTGAAAAGATGACTTTTGATTATGTAACTTGTCTATGTCACACTGAAAGTTGAACTCTAGTCTGTCAGCCACCAAAACCCAGGCTCTTAACCACTGCAATGGTTACCTGACTATATGCAAGGAACTCTGCTGGAATCTGTGAGCCTGGGAAACAAGCCATGAAGTAGTTTATGCAGCTACTACATCATATAAGGCAAGCATTACACATGAAAGAAAATGTAACTGTCCAAGAAGACATGTACTGTGTTATTTAAAGAAGTAGGCCATAAATTCTGGAGTCAACAGCAATAGGTATTTAGAAAAAAAAAAGAAAGGAAGGAAGGAAAGCAAAAAAGAGAGAAGATTAAATTAAATTCTTCAAATTTAAAGAACAGAAAGGATCACAGCAGAAAAAGCAAAAAACAAATAAGAAGACATGGATTCTATTTTCTAGTTACTACATACTAATGAGTGATCTTGGGTATACTGAGAATTTTATATAAAATAGTATAATCACATCATCAGAGTAGGGTTTTTGCTGCTTAACATGGGAGAGTAAATATATTAGAAAAGTTTGATAGGATTGTTCAATCATATTACATTATGTATATTATATCATAATATATATTATATTAGGTTATTTCATATTAGATGCAATGCAATGTTCTTCCCCAGTGCAATTCAAGGTCCAAAGCCATCCTACAAGACTCAAAGTCTCCTATGATTAACTGAAATATTGAAGAAAAGACAAAGTGGCAGGTAAAAAAAAGTATTTCCTTCCTTGCTTTTAGCTTATCTTTCCCCTCCCCCAGCCTTTATTCCTCTGATTTATTCAAGAAAGAGAGCACAGGAGCATCTTATTAGCAATTCTTATCCAGGAAATATGAGCACTTTGGGTCAATTGAAGGGAACTGGGAGGAGAGGGAGTCAAGGGGGAGAAGAATGTCACACAATAAAAAAAAGAAAGCAACAACCTAGTTTAGTGGCACACAGGAATTCTTTTTGTGTGTGTAAATTTGATTTATCAGGTAATTTAAACATTCTTGTAGATGTTTCATTTTATTACCATTAAACATTTTCCCCTTCCAGGAACCTTTATTCTGATGCTTAAAAATAGTCCAAATTCATGTAAATTTTAAGTACGGTTTTGGAGGTAATATAGCCAAGGGTTTTACTGTCTTTCATGCAGTTAAGTGGAAACTGTCAAGTAGACTGATCCTTATTATAGTAAAGCTTCCGGGGAGGGTAGTGCTGCCCTCCCAGCAGATGTTCTAAAACTGTTGACCCCTCTCTTCTTTTCATAAGGAGGATTTTGGGAACATGCTAAAAACAATGTGTTGATGTCTTAGTGACAAAAGCTAGGTTTCTTTCAGCACTTTTCATTAAGGTGGGCTTTTAGCCTGTACCTTCATCATGCGCCATAGATTTAGTTCAGGATTAGCAAATGCTAATCCACATGTAACGCTCTCTGCGGTCAACACACGTTTAGCCATGTGATTACGTTTTCTAAATGTACCTTTTAACTCCTCTTACTATGCTTAATCTTAAGAGATGTGAACAAATTCACAAACTTGTGTCTTTCCTAGTCACTTTAATTTCTAACCAGGTAGTCTGTCAAAGTCTAGTCCCTGGGAACAAGCTCAGAGAAGCTAAAAATCTCCAGATCCTCAATTCTTAGGACAGGGCCTTTTGTGTGCACAGTTCTCACGACTCACAGAACTTGACTAACTTGAGAGAGATAATAAAAACATCTCCTCCAAAAGTACTTGTTCATTTCAGGGCTCTTCGGAGATGTTTTTAAGCAGTGCTGCATCTGATGGGGGCAGCGAGGATAAAAACTGTCCCCAAAAGTGGGTCTTATCACCCGGAGATGCCTCCAGTCGCGCTGACAAATCTCCAAAGTGGGAAATCGTCAGTTTCCCTTCACTGGGCCTCAGCGTGTGAGAGGGAGGGGGATGGGCAGGGGCCATCAGGGGAGAAGTCTCCGGCCTTTCCACGTCTCTCAACACCATCCCTCCCCCACCTCGCCTCCTCCTTCCCCGAATTCTAAACAAGCCGGCGGTAGAGGGGCCCCGGGGGCAGCCTGGCCAGGAGGCTCGGCCTTTGTGGCTCTGTCCTCGACGGTGGCGGGGAGGCAGAGGGGGCGAGGACGCAGGCCACAGACCCTCAGCCGGGGCTTGACCCCCAGGTGCATTGTCCGGCTTGGCCCGCCCCCTCCCCCCTTCCCCCCCACTCCCGGTTCGCGACCCGACCGCCACTGGCCCCCTCCCAGCGTCTCCCTCCGCCGGCCGCGCCGACCTCGCGGTGCCCAGACCAGGGGCCAGATGTAGAAAGTAGTCCCCAGGCCGGCAGCGGTGGTGCTGTCCACTCCGCCGCCCCCGCCCCCTCCAGCCACCGCCTCACTCCGCCCCCAGGCCGGACTCTCGGGTCCCCCGCCTCCTGCGAGCGGGTGTCCGTGCGCCGGACTCGCCGCGACCACAGAGAGACGAGGGCCAGCCGCGCCGCTCCGCGCCACGCCGGTACCCGAGCGGAAAGCCCAGGCTGTGCTTCCAGCCGCGGCGCAGGGAGCTCGGAGGCGGGGGTCGGGGGGCGGACAGCGGCTGCGGGGCGGCCGGGGAGCATGCCCGCGCAGCCCCGCTGAATGGCGCCTTCTCTGCGAACCCTCGCCCGGCCGCGTCCGCCAGGGATGCTGCTGCTCCGCGCGCTCCTGCTGCTCCTCGGCTCAGTTCCAGGTGGGCGCGCTTTTTTCTGTGCTTCTGCGCCCGTAGGGCGTGCGACGGCGCGAGTGGGCTGGGGAGAGAGGGAAAGGGGGTGCGCGTTGGGGGGGCGGCGAGGTTCCCCGCGGTGGCACTGGCCGCCGGCCCCTGTCTCCTGCTTGCAGTCCGTCGGAGCGGCTGCTGGAGGCGGCGGGAGCCTCTCCCGGCGCACGCCTCTCGCCGCTGCGCTCCCACTGGCCACGAGCTGCGCGGCCGGGGCGCCCGCTGTCCACTCTCGTCCGTTCCTCCTCGCGCCATTGTCCGCGCTTCGGCTGCGTCCTCGCCGCAGCAGCCAGCCCGGGTCCCGCGCCGCCCGCCCGCCCGCCGGGCCGCCACGGCTGCACGTGGCTTTATTTATATTGTTTCCTCAGTGGCAGACTCGCCACACAGGGGGCGCCGGGGTTCCGCGCGGCTTTCCGGGTTTGCAGTGGGGACTCCCCCGCGTTTTAGGGCGGGGGAGAGCGAGTAGGTGAACTCAGCGCCCAGGTCAGCACTCCTAGTGCCCCACTTTCCTGATCGGAATGGCATGAAGGGCTGGAGTCGGAAAAAGAATAGGGTTGGAAGTTGCATGGCCGATTTGTGTCTCGGGTGGATAAAAATTCCCGAACCTGAGAAGGAAAGCATCTAAATAGGACTTATTTCTTGCAGCCAGGTATTTTGGGGCAGGGCCTGAGATATGTATGAATCTGAAGAATCCTCCCAACTCCAGGTTAGATGTGCGCAGACTTGGATGAATTAATTTTTCTTTTGCCTCCGTGTTGGTTTATCCTCAAAGATATAAACGTATTAAGTGGATGCGGTGGTTGGGGGTGGGAGAGGTGTTCAAGCGTAAGGGTCGTTTTATTTACAGGTTACAAACCCCGTACTTTGCTTTCCCCCCGCCCCCCTGGAGGAGTTAGTTTTCTGTTAGCATGAGAAAAGGATCAAAGTTAGATTTGACTCGGAAACACAATGGGCGCCTTCCGGAGTGGCCCTCACAGCGCGGGGCTGTTAGGGTCGCTCGTGTCGCCCTGGGCATATATTAGAAGGCTTCAGCACGGGCGTGGGAGCGTGACTAGGGTGTGAGGTTACCGAGTCCTCTACCGGGGATTTGTAATCATGGATTCAAAACAGTCAGAAGGAAGATGAAACGTTCCCTCCAAACCCCTAATGCTCTACTCTTCCCCAGTCAATATGCAAGACTTTAGCTGGCCTTTGCGCTAAGTGCAAGAAGTGACAGGGTATTAGGTGGCCATCGGATCCTGGAGGGGGCTGGGGGCGATGTGTATACTTTGGATAAAGCCTTTCCTCTGCTCCGATAAAAAGTGTACTGGTTGATTAAGCAATCTCCTATCCCTATTAGACAGTAAGGACCAATTAGTCACGCATTTTTTTCCAACAGTTGGCAGTTCTAAAAAAAAAAAAAGAAATAAAAGTTTCCTAATCCGATCACCCACTGAGTACAAGCAGCAAGCGTTACCAACTTTTCAAAGTCAACTCTTTGTCCTTTAAATATCTACCTGACTCTGCAGAAATTAAGTAAATGGGCCTCTTTCCAGGAGAGGAGATAGAGTCCTTGCTGTAAAAGGGCAGATGTAAAAATGCAAACTTGTCACAAAAGATGAACACTCTTCTCAGAGGAGTAAGTGCCAGGGTTCCAAAAACACTTCAAGGGACAAGGAAATAAACTTGCTTGTTCACAGAGTTGGAGTTTTGCTAATGATTTCTTGTAAAATTAGACTTTTACGACTTACTCTGTTCAAGATCTTTTTGACAAGCTTGTAAAAGTAGCAAACAGCTTGTGCTCGAGTTCTCCTGAAGATTTTGAAACTCTAGAGAGAAATTTGAGAGCAGAATTCTTACAAGGCATAGAAATTATTGAAATCTTCCCTGGGCTTTTAAGTGCAGAGGTAAAAAGTGATATTTCTGATTTGTTGGAAAGGTTTGCTGAAACTCAGATTGGATTATTAAGGTGCTGTGGGTTAACTAATATGGTTTGTTAAACTTTGTCATATTACATCCTGAATTTGTGTTTTACAATTGTGTGTTACAAAATGATTTTATACCCATAATTCTGGATATACCTTTCTTCCCCTTTTTCCTTATAGGAGTGTGGTGCTTTAGCGAACTGTTTTTTATAAAAGAACCACAGGATGTAACTGTCACAAGAAAGGACGCAGTCTTGTTAGATTGCCAGGCTCATGGAGAAATTCCAATTAAGGTCACATGGTTGAAAAATGGAGCAAAAGTGTCTGAAAATAAACGGATCCAGGTTCTGTCTAACGACTCTTTATACATCAGTGAGGTGGAAGGCAAGCGGGGAGAGCAGTCTGATGAAGGATTTTATCAGTGTTTGGCAATGAACAAATACGGAGCCATTCTTAGTCAAAAAGCTCATCTTACCTTATCAAGTAAGTGGTTAAATTCTTGTTTTACATTTTTCATTGCAACATTCTGATGATTTCTTGACTCATTTATATGCTAACCTTAAAATCGTACAGACATTAAGAGTTTTCCTGGAGATAGTGATTGATGGCAACAAAAAGGCATGCAGAAAAATCTAAGGAAAAAAATGTAAAATTGAAATGAGTGATTGAGAACAAAAGTCAAATTACAACAACAAAACCTGTAGAGGTGGCTTTCTATAAAGTGCAGTGTTTCACACTGTGAGAAGAGTGCAAAAATTTGGCCAATGCAACAACAGTTGCTCTAAAAACTACTCTTTTGTACAAGACTAATTACATTTTTAAAATCACAAGCAAATCTTTCTGCTTTGTGGCCCCTGAGTGCTAAATCTTTCTTATAGCCCAACCTTCCATTTCTCTGACTGCTTTAAGATCACCCATGTTGCTTTTAATTGTAAGAGAGGGCATTGGTCAGTAACTCTGAAGCCTTTGAAGTATTCCTAGTCTTTTCCTGCTGAGAGAGAAAAAGATTAAGGCCATTTCCATATTATGCCTAATGGACTTAAACCAGATCTGCCCACATTTTTCCAGTTGTCATAAAGTTTGCTGTCCAATGATTTTCTTTGCATTAACAACCCCATCACAACAACCGTTTGTCCAGGTGATCCAGTGCTTGGTAGTTGACCAGACGGCTGTTGAGTGTACCGCTAGGACTAGGGTAGATAGGTTATTCCTGGTTCCCACTGAGTTTTCCACCTCTCCAGGTGACCAAACACTGCAGTATAGCACTCAGCATTATAATAGACAATTCAAATCTTTTTTAAAAAATCTACACAGCTGTACCTAAAAATAGTTTTACAGGCATCCTAGTTACATGCTTTTGTTGATCCACCAAAAATAGATTCTGCACTATTAATTGATTATTGAAAAGATGAACAATAGGAAGAAGGAGCTCTTGAGATGAAGGCGTAATCTTTAGGAAGTAGTTTCTTCAAAGTCTAGACAGTTGAAATTTAGGAAGCAATTGACAGGGGGTTCCTAGGTGATTTTATTGTAACAATCTATGGCCATATTTATGTCACTCTCAGTAATTTATTTTATTTGTACGATAATGATCAACTGTAGAAAACAAATTGCAAGCAAAGGTATTTTTATATAGAAATATGTCAGAAAAAATAGAGAAGTTTCCAATTCTAGCCCCTTCTGCACAAGAATAACATAAACCTGAGAGAATTTCTGGTAAACTTACTTTCTTGCTGTAATCATTGGCCAGCAATTATTTTTGTTGTTGCTGAGTAATGGTTTTTCTGTGCAGTTCTGTTTTCAGGAGAGTATGCTTTTTATGTTATGTTGTGTTTGTTCAATTTTTGTCTAATGTAGATTATTTTAGAGAGTTGTAATTTTTCTACTTTAAGTTTGAGAAATCTTGCGTTTTCATACCCAGAAGCTGCAACTGGTATTACCTTGCTGGAGAGGAGGAGAAGGGCAAGATGGAAAGATGAAGGGGGAGGGATGGGCCTTAAAAGATGAAGCATTTGTCATGACTGCAAGTTGTTTTCAGGACCTCCTTGGAAACCTAGCAGAATCCAGGGGTACCCAGAAATACTTTGAAATCACACAGAGCTTTCAGATTTCATAGTCTGAACAGTGTAACATATGTTAGTAACAGTGAAACAAATGTCAGTATTGACTTTTTTAGTATCTTTAGATTTTTGTATCTTTATAAAAATTATAAATAAACATTTAATTAGATGTGAATCATTTGGAAGGTTCCTGTGAAGTAGTTTTTTATAAGTATCAAAAACTTTCCAGTGAGACTATATAGTATAGAGAACATTGCTGTGCTATTAAATATCAACTGTAGTCAGTTTTAGGGACCACACTTTTCATATGTGTACATTTTATTTAACTCTGAAGAGGTATTTTGCTAAGAAATTACATTCAGTATTATATATTTAAAATAAGAAATGCGTAGTGGGTTTACATTTTTCTTAGAAATACAAAACTTCTTAGAGATTCTGAACTCACAAAGTTAGTGCTGATATGTAAGAAGCAATGTCGAATGATGTCATATGACTTTATCCTTTGTTCAGGGTAAAAATATAATACATATTAAACAGGAAGAGAATAGGCATTAAGTGGACATTCTGCTTTTTTTTTTTTTTTTTTTTTTTTTTTGCAAGCTAGTTCTCTCCTAGTTATTGATGGCAGCAGGGTGCAAGTACGTCCTTTTTATTTCCTGCTCAAAGGTTTTGTCAGCAAGCATGTCTTTTGGTTCACAAGTGTCATAATACAGCATCTGAAAATCTAAAACTTTAATCTGGGTAAGTTTAGACTTTTAACACACAGGCAATCAAGTCTTGGTTTCTAAACTTAGGAACTAGAAGCTGAAAGTTGCACTCTAGGCAAGAATTCCATTATTCATGTGTAAATTAGGAATTCACAGGGTTAAAAGGTTAGAAACTGGCCAGGATGAGGTTTACCCTTGTGATAAAGAGCAGATGACCCTCATTCATTGGCCAACGCTTTCATGTAGCTCTTCTGCAAAGTTAGTTATTGCCACGAATTGTTCTTGAGGAATGCAGAAATTCAAATGTGAACAGGCCCTTCCTTAAGTGTCACTATGGAGCCTTATCTCCCAAGCACATCAGAGCCTGCTTCAGGGACAGGGTTCCTCCCCAAAGGCCTGGAGGCTTTACTTTCCTGTTGTTCATCCAAGCACAAAAGAATTTGTCTAACTTAGTTTTTCTAAGACATCCCATTTTTAAAGGAAAGTATAGGGTTAAAGTAACACTTAGTTTTTTTTAAACAGATAATCCTTTTTATTGATAGCTGTTTTAGCTGTTTTACATTTTCATGTAACTGGAATAGAAGGAAGAGTGATGTTAGGAGACCCTTTTCTAGTTCTATATAATAGTAAGAACAGAAGATTAAACCATTTCCTATAAATTTCAATATTTTAAACTTCTGGCAAATCACATTTTCACTTTCATGGGTGCTAAGTCTTCACTATGTAAATAATATAATTTAAATGCTTTAAGAGTAAAAAATAATCTATGGACATCTTGACATTTCTTGCGTTCTTAATGTTGAAATAAGTAAGATAAATTTCATAGGAAAGCATTAGTGTGGTAAAATGGTCTCGTATTTCAACAAGTTTAAATTAAGATAAGAGACATTTGAGAGAAGTAAAGAAGGAGGTGGGTTGTGTTCTGTGATGTGTAAAAGACTGGCTGTAAGCTAGTGATTGAACAGGAAGCTAGTTGTTTATTTCCTTTCCATAAAAGGTGGAAATTGAAGTCTTAGGGTAGAAGGAAAGAGAACATAAAGCTGACTTTATATTTCATATGGTTTTCAGGACTGTTCACTTGGGTGAAAAATAATTTTTTAAGTGAGCATTTGTAACTGGAAGACCATAAGAATTGTAACTTTATGATGGATTTTCCCATCATTTTTGGGTTGGTTCTGCCATTCGTAAAGTTGTTTGGGGGAGTCCATTTCTATAACTTAAAGAGTGATATATAAATTATAGCCCAAAGTTGATCTTGAAATGTGAGGTTAAAATATATTGAAAACATGTAAAGAGTCATGCTAAAAAGAAGGAAGGTGGGTAGTATATTGAAAAGAGAAAGATATAAACTGTGAGACTATTAACCTACATTTGGAGTTTTATTAATGATCTTGGACCCAAGATTTTGCTATACTGTCACTTTTTATTGAGATTTGTAGATGCTGTCAAGGACAGAGTCTTATCTGCGTGCACATTCACTTCAAGTCATGCTAACAGGCACCTGCCCTAATTCCAGAGTGCTAACACAAAAGCAAATGTCATTTGATTTTTTGGAAAAATAAGACAGAACTGAGGTATTTAGAGAGGTCAGTCTGACAACGTAGGTGAGGTTCAGATGATGCTTTCTGGGATCTAAGAAAAATTATCTTTAAAGAGAGGGTGTATGGTTCAAAAGACATGTTTAACTTAAAAATTGACCACCTTAAAATTGCGTAAGTTAACTCAGAGAAGTAAAAGCACTTACAGTTATACAGCCTTCCTTACAATGACACTCGGTTCTTAGAGTCTGTCTACTTAAAAGGCTTATCAGGTACCTGGTAATTGCTGGGTAATGGAACCAGTTTTCCCCACTTTTCAGTTGATTAGTGAGGATCATTTCTCATCTTCAGAAATGTGTAACTATCTCACTTTTTTTTTCACAGTTGTTGGAAATTTTATTTTTCACTAAGCAGTATCCACTGAGAAGTAAATCATAGTTTATTTCAAGATGTATATACATGTGTTTGTTTATTTTGCTTCTGTCCAGCTTCTTAATGGAATTTGGGAAGGGCATTTGGTATGCCTCTCCTTTGTCAACTATCTCTGATTATTCAAGAGAAAGGGTCTCACTCAGAGCATTTGTTTGCCCACGGATTTGTTGTCATTACTTCTCAATTTAACAGCTGGGCCTATCGATGAAGTCCGGAGAAATTTTAAAGAATAGCAAAAAACAAATCTTTTAAACAGGGTTGTAGGTTGAAGGAGTTTTTCAAATGCATAAAAAATAAATGCATTCGAGGTTACTTTTTTGAAAACCCTAATACTCTTGACTGCAGTTTTGAGAGATTATATTTATTTGTCATAGGCATAGTCACTCAATTAGAATTGATTACTTTTAGCTTTTAAACTGGCAGTTACTATTTCTATTAAAAATAATCGATGTTGATGAGGCATTTTGTTGAGGCTCATACTTGAATTTTAGAAGCAGCAATGATTATTGTTTTAAGAGAAATCCTGAAAATTGTACCCCAAATTAAGTTTTCATTGTCAGTCAGAACAATTTTAATACTTCTGAGAGTTTATAGTGTACAGACTTTTTGCTGAAGCATTTTTTAAACTCATTTAAATCTTGGTAGTTAAGAGAGGAAGAAGACGACCCACTTGGGATCATTGAAGCAATATTGGCAGTAGTTTTAATGTGGTAAGCTGCACAGAACAAGCTCGCGGTCAAGAGCTA